GTTTAGACATATGGAGACAAATAGCAGAAGAATCAGCCACAAGTTGGAAGCGGTTTCCTGGGGCAGAAGGGACAGGCATACTGCCAACTTTTTTTTTTAACAGGCCTTGTAGAATCGATACCATACACATGTATAACTTCCATAAAACTATCACATTAGAGTGAGAATTTAATAAAACATTTACTAAAGTAGTTAAAAATGCTAAAATTTGCTGTTAAAAATTCACTATAATAACTATGTTTTATCGAATCTGACACAATCGATCTTAGGATGCACCATAATTTTATGTATTAAGAAGAAAAAACACACGGAAAATAAACTATGCCATTGATCACAATGCGGGTCCATTTTAGAGACATTAAAAGGTGAAAAAGAAATGTGTCTTAGAACCGACCCCTCGTGTCCGTCGGGCCTGGCATATACCTCTGACCATGCAACAAACCTCGGCGTCGTTCAGACCATTTTACACACGAGAAAAGTGAGGCTTATGGGGATCGCACGGTGAAAGTGTTTGCCCAGAACGTTGTCATTAATCAAGAAGGAAATTTGGAGCCTCGAAGATCAGGCATCGTTATAGCTCCAACGTCAACAATGCCGGCTGATGCGGTAACCCCAGGACCTGCCAGCACCTTCCTGGGGGCGTGTCTCCTGCAGGAACAAGATCCGCTCAGCAGGGAGGGAGGCCTATCCGATCCTGTTGGTTTCTTAGTTGCAGCTAACAGGACTCGGAGCCGGCTAACTAGCAAAGAAGCAATTTGGGGGGAAGGAGGTGTTTTACGGAATGGTGAGCAAAACGGAAAGAATCGGGCCGTAGAGGGGGAGGCGCCGGGGCCAGTGTGGAGATGGAGGAAGCGCAAGGCACCGGCCAGCCTGGGAGTCCCCTTCACCGCCCCGCTGTCGAGCCGAACAGTCATCTGGGATCCAGAGGCAGAGCCCCAGGACGCAGCCTCCGATTGGCCGTTTGGGCCTTGTGCCCGCCCCCTCAACGCTTTGATTGACAATTCCCCCAAGACCTCAGCGGGGAGTGTTTCCCAAAGGGAAAATCCGTATGGGAACTAGAAAATGGGGGAAAGGACAGAAGAAAGGCAAAAATCACAGATTTCCAGCCAGAGAGGGCATTTCCTCTGGGGAGGAAGAGGAAAAGGGCTCTGAGAAAACTTTTCGGATGCTTTGGCTGCAGGCCTATGTCAAGATCCTCTTACAGGCTTGCGGCAAGCGCAAACCCTCTACTGCAAAGCTTCATACTCGGTGAGGACGGTTTCAAAAATTTATTTTTTGTCCCAGCCATCTTCAGTGTACAGCCTGATGAATGTCGGGACATTTGCAGCCGCTCCCCGGCTCTTTCTCTCTCTCTCTCTCTCTCTCTCTCACTCTCTCTCTCTCTCTCTCTCTCTCTCTCTTTCTCTCTCGGGCACCCCTCACCTGACAGCCCGGGAGTGGGGGACAAGTGGGCAGAGTTTGATCTGTGGTGCTGGCCATTTCTCCCTCCGCCGTCACCCCCCCCCC